TTAGCCTTATGTGTTTAACAGAAGCATATACTCCTACTATTTCCTGATTCTTCAGGAAAAAAATTGAGTTTTGTGACTTTCATGAGACTAAATGGTTGGTTTGTTTTTTAGTTTTTTTTGGAATGTGTCAGCAAATGTTTTGTTTAGATTCCAATGTTTTTGTTTAGATTGAGCAATAGAAAATACTAAATTACCATTACAATACATTTTATTTCTATCTATAATCAAGGATTTATTGTACTGTTTGCACTGAATCATGTAACTCCATAGAGAAGTCACAGGCAGCTTGTTCTGCACAGGTAACTGTACATACCTTACTTTTCTCTTTGTTTATTAGTCCCAGCGGGAGCCATTAATGAGAGCACGAAGTGAGGAAATGGGAAGGATAGTCCCAGGGCTGCCTGCAGGTTGGGTAAAGGTAACTCCTCTCCTGAAATGAAAATCAAACTGTTTTGTGTAGTTTTGTCCTGTATTTCAGTTGTGTCTTCTAAGTTAGATCTTGTTTCATTTTTTTTACTCCCCTTTAACTTCCACACAGTTACTTTGTGAATTTTAATATTATTTGTAATGAAACTAGGACAGTTTATCTGCTGTTCCTGGTTTTTTGCTGTTTAATAGGCATTTTGGTGAAAGTTCCCCTTCTACTAAATTTAATCCATTGAATGTTAAGGCCAGTCACAACTTAATATCCCAATGTCTGAAAAACTCATGCTGTTCTTACAGTAATTTATTAATAGGTAAGTTAATGATGGATTTTCACTTGGGTTTGAAACTACTGGGTTTTTTTCCCCCCAGTTCCTGGATGACATCACTGGAACCTATCGTTACTATCACTCACCAACAAACACTGTTCAGATGTACCCACCAGAAATGGCTCCTCCAGCCACTCCTCCATCAACCCCTCCCACTCGGAAGGCCAAGCCCAAGGCGACGGCTGAGCGGGAGAGAGAGCACTCCAAGCTCAAGCGCTCCTACTCATCCCCAGATATAACCCAAGCCATTCAGGAGGAAGACAAGAAAAGAATTCCTGTGACTCCTGCAGTCAATCGTGACAATAAGTATGTTTGTTTGATAAGTTAGATCACAACTCAGGCAGTATGACAGCACAGAGGACTTTCTTTGTGTTTAACCAACTGAAATTCATTACTGTTTTCTAAGTGGGTTTGAAAGGATGCAAGAGTAATAGGGTAAAATTTCATTGCTAGAAGTTCAATGTATAGAGCAAGTTCTCTTTGTGAAATCAATATAATAGTTATGTATTAGCAGGAGTTTCAGAGGTCAAAGTCTGTTAATTGGATGATAGTTTCTTTTTTAAGTTCTGTTATTTGTATTAACATACTAAAAGACTATCTTCTGACAGTTTGTGAAATGCAAGTTTTCAGATTTTAAAATGTATTAAACAGCTAATTCTTCATCTGTGAATTGAAGAAATAAAGGGAAAAAAATATATAAATCTCACAACTGATGGTGCCTAAAACTCAGCCTCATTACAGGCCAGTGTACATGGATTTCTCACTGTTGCATTGGCTGGTTTTGAATACCGTAAATGATGGTATTTGGTGCCAGGATGGTCCAATCCCTGTGGATAGTGGGGTGAAGTGTGGTGTCTGTTGATTTGTGTGAACAACTTTGTCAAATCTAAGACTCCTAAAAAATAATTTCTTGCTTATAGACCTGCCTGTTACACTAAAGCAGAAATTTCCAGGCTCTCTGCATCGCAGATTCGAAATCTTAATCCTGTGTTTGGGGGATCGGGACCAGCTCTGACAGGCCTTCGTAATCTAGGGAACACTTGCTACATGAATTCCATATTACAGTGTCTGTGCAATGCACCTCACCTGGCTGAGTACTTCAACAGAAACTTGTATCAAGCTGATATTAACAGGTAACAATCTCTCATCTGCCTTTATACAATTCAAGATCACTTAGTGGGGCTGTTTGTTTTTTTAAGTAGGAGGCAAATGGTAACTTTTAGGCACCTTGACATTTTCAAAATTCATGTGTGTCACTAAATAGATTTTACTGGACTGTGATAATTAAATTATGGTCACAACATGCATAAAATACATGTGTACTAGAGTCTCTTAAAACCAAACTGAATAATTAAATCGTTCACAAAACATGCTGAAAACAGCTGTACCTTCCATCTGGAATGTGATACCAAATTACAGGGCTGACAAAGATGAAAATTTAACTCAGTCTAAGAGCCAGTTTTCCTTGGTCTAAAGAAATTATTTTAAAATTGGGATCATGTTTTGAATTAAAAAGATTAATATTAAAACCCAGTTATTTGAATGGCTCAGATTTTTTTTTGTTTCTTACTTTATAGGTCAAATTTCCTGGGGCATAAAGGTGAAGTGGCTGAAGAGTTTGGTGTAATAATGAAAGCTTTATGGGCAGGACAGTATAAATATATCAGTCCAAAAGACTTCAAAATTACAATTGGGAAGATTAATGACCAATTTGCAGGATATAGCCAACAGGACTCCCAAGAATTGCTTCTCTTTCTAATGGATGGCTTGCATGAGGACCTAAATAAAGTAAGCAATACACTTAAGTTATATATCTATCAGAAGATCAAGAGAATTGTTTAATACTTTCTTATTCCATAAGATTATGTTACTGCAGCCTGGTACAGAAAGATATACGATTATTCAGAATTAAAGTAGGAAGTCAGTGTGAAACAGTATAAGGTAGTGGAGGGAGTCACAGAAGAAGCCTCACTAGACAAGAACTGGCTGGCTACACTGCCATGTTTAAATATTCTTGTGAATATTCAGTCATATGCTTGCCTATAGGTAAGACTTCTTACTTACATATATGTTAATGTATTGCTGTGGTATTTAAACTTCTGCTATCCAGGCTGACAACAGGAAAAGATACAAGGAAGAAAATAACGATCACCTGGATGACTCGAGTGCAGCAGAAATAGCCTGGCACAAGCACAAGCAGCTCAATGAGTCCATCATTGTGGCACTGTTCCAAGGCCAGTTCAAATCCACCGTGCAGTGTCTGACGTGTCACAAGAGGTCCCGAACCTTCGAGGCTTTCATGTATCTGTCACTACCACTTGCATCCTCCAGCAAATGCACTCTGCAGGTATGGGGAGCTGGAGAGAAAACATTCCTCTGGCACTTCATTGTGATGCTGCTTCTGCTCACCCTCTGCTTGAGGGGGTTGGTCAGCATTTGCTTAATTTGCATTGACCTGAAACATGAACAGATCTGAATCTGTATTTTTTTTTTAATTCTTTTAAAGTTTAAAGAAATAGGTTATCCCTTAAAAGTTTTAAATTAGAAGCAGGATGGAAATACTGAAGCTGCAATAGCAGTATGTATACTACTTGCTTTGGTAGGTCACAATGTAAATATCCTGTGTTTTTAAACAAAATATTTTCTGTATATTTTGAAGGATGCTAATTAATATCTGCAGTAAAACTTGCTTCCACACATAGATTTAAGTCACTTTTCCTCAGTGAAATGTAGGATGCAGATAACTGATGCAGGTTAACAACCAAATGGGAAACAAACATTTTTGTTATACTTGCATAAACGCCTATCATTCACAATCTCTGCATCTTGTTTTAGGAATGCCTTAGATTGTTCTCCAAAGAAGAAAAGCTCACTGATAACAATAGATTTTACTGTAGCCATTGCAAAACTCGAAGGGACTCTTTGAAAAAAATAGAAATTTGGAAATTACCACCTGTGCTTCTTGTGCACTTGAAACGGTAAGGAAATGGTGATTGGTGGATATTAATTAGGATGGAATGACCAGGCTTTGATGGAACTGGATTGTTCCATGCCAGTAGCTGAGCATTTTTACTTAGAGAATGTCACAGATACATTACCATTGTAATGTTGCAAGAATTTGATTTTCATCTGATGCTTCTTTTGTAATGCTGTAATTCCCAAGGCACTTCCACAAGTGACCTCTTGTTATTTTTGCTAAGGAACACATGAGCAAACGTTTACAGAACTGGGGGCTTTAGTTGAGATCACATCCTGGTTAAAAACAGGGAAAACTAACATGCTTAATACAGTGGAATAGCTTGTGAAAAGCCTGTAACTTTTCATGATGCTTTTTAATTCTCTAGATTTTCCTATGATGGAAGATGGAAACAAAAGCTTCAAACTTCAGTAGATTTTCCACTGGAAACTCTTGACCTCTCTCAGTATGTTATTGGTCCAAAGACTTCCTTGAAGAGATACAATCTGTTCTCAGTATCGGTGAGTAACCATGTCACATTTCAAAATCCAGCTGCACTTTATGCCAGGACTCAGGGTGGCCTGTGGGATTCAGCCAGGCTGCGTTGTAGTTGCAGACAAAGTTGTATTCTAAAAAATGTTCTAGATTTCCCTCACCAGGGAAGAAATGGCAGCTTTGAAGGCCACTAACCCTTGCCTTACATTCACAGAATCATTACGGTGGGCTGGACGGGGGGCACTACACGGCCTACTGCAAAAATGCTTCAAAACAGCGCTGGTTTAAGTTTGATGACCATGAAGTGTCCGAGATCTCGGCGTCCTCGGTGAAGTCCTCAGCTGCTTACATTCTCTTTTATACTTCCTATGAACAGCGAGCACTAGATATGGCCACGTAAAGGAATGTGGCTTAAGGAAACTGGTTTTCTTTCTTCAAGAGCAAAGTAGGCCTGGGAATGCACATAAATATGCAGAAGTACAGCAGACATAGTGACTGGGGGAGTGGGAGGAGCAGGGTGTCTGCCAGCAGGCTCGCTCGGGCCGTAGCAGTGCTTAACAATCAGAGACCGATGGGCAACGCTTGTGGTCATACTGCCATCTGTGAAACCATTTACAAGCATACTTGCATTACTGTTTATTTAAAAAAGAACTATATTTTTAGTCTGCTCCAAAATTAAATTCTAGCTTAGTCATCTGAAATCTATTAACAAGTAGTTTAAAATGTCTTAAAATCCCAAGGCATATCTTGGTTTATTTTTTTCTTTCACTGTTAATGGCCTTTTCACATTTCTAACCTTAAGCTTGACTCTACTGTGAATACTCTAGAACGATGTAAACAGTTAGGAATGTAAGTGTACATATTGATTGCATACTTGCACATCAGAATTATGTATATAATAAAATGTTGTCCTTTTTGTGAGACTCTAAAACTCAGAGGATTGCATTTATTTGCCAGCTCTAAGTAATTGCAACACTACTTAATAAAAAAGCAGAGCTGTATTATTTTTTCTGCTAGCTTTTGTCAATATTTGTGCACTTCAGAGTTATTCTAAACAAGATTTTCCTTTTTAATTTTTTAATCTAAATTTTCATGTACACATGCATTTAAAAACCTTAATGAAGAAATTATTTAAAAATATATCCTGTTAAATGTATGTTTGGGTTTGGTTTTTCATTCTCAGCTTGTTATGTAATGATCAAAATTGTACATAATAACAGTCTGACTCATACACAGTTTAAAGGGTGTCCAGATAAAAATATTGTTTTGCATAGAGCTGATTAGTTTAAAAACTTCTTTTAGTTGCATCTTACATATTTCTCTGCTCTGAATTAGGGTTAGTTTTCTGATAAGGTTGCCATTGAAAAGTCTTACATTCTGAGCTTTTACCTGTGTGTGTCTGTCTTGCTGATGGAATTAAGACCAATATTGATTGTTTTCCAGAAACTTGCAAGCTGCAAACAAGTTTGAAGTGCTCGAGAAACAAAAATTACATCAGTAGAGCAATGCCTTTTTCTTTCTTCTGTATCAATGGTCACTCCATCCTCTCTTCTGTAGCACAGTCTGGTCTGGTTGTGTGCTTTCACTTTGATATCCTTCTGTTAGTTCCTGAAAGGCAGCTTAGAACAACCTGCTATACTTAACCAGCAGAAAAACAAGAATTTCCAGGTAAGTGCATCTGTGTGCTCAACATCCATGTTGTTTTGAGGGGTGCAAGAAGGTTGTCATGGAAAACAACTGCGGCCCTTGTGCACATGGAGCAGATGCACATTCCTTCATGGCTTAGGGGCTGTAACTGTCCTTTCTAGGAATCACTTCCTGAAAGACCACAACAGCTGATCAGTGGTGCACATGCTCTAGTTTATTGATGAAACATGAGTTGGTTAATGCTGCTGGTGAATTCTAGGTGCTGCCCTACTCAGTGTTCATTTCCAAGACTAACAGGGTGTCAGTAGCCTTGGGAGATGTAGAAGAGGAGGTAGGCTGTGTCAGCCTGCACTGCAGAGTCTGGGATCTTGGTGACCTGGGCATCATCAAAGCTGTACCAGTGTTTGGTGACTGAGTGCTTGCAGAAGGCCGTGTAGTGGCCATAATCCAGATCTCCAGCATGGTTCTGCAACAAACAACACAGTCTGTTAAAACCAGACTCCTGTTCTGTCTCCTTACAGGCAAAGCTAGGAACTGGCAATTGTTTTATGTATGCATTTGGAAAAGATGGCACAGAGGGTTCTAGCCCCTTTTGGCCTAGAGCAGGGAATGTTAATTCAAATAAATTCTTGCCAACACAGTAAATGGATGATGATCATGCTTATTTATTTTGCAATCCTACTATTAGCCCTGATACAGGTCACTATAAGAGGACCCCACTTGTTGTGAGCCACGTCCTTTTTTAAAAACTGGATTCATACTGGATCAGCCTGCGAGTTTACTCTGAAGAGGCATTATGTGCCAGGAGTGCATTCTTTTAAAAATGGGATGTTGGGGAAGAAGGAGAAGTAATGTCTCTGTCCTTCAGTTACATACTGTTACTGGGTTATGTCCGTGGCTGGTAGAACAAAGCGTACAACAAAACACGCATTAAATTATAAATCATTATGTATGAAGTTCAAACTAACACAGGCTTAATCTGCTCCACAAGGCAGGGCATTCCCAATAAAAGCAGGAAGGGCAAAGCTTACCACTACAGCACACAAGCTGTACTCTGTATTGTTGTGACACGATGTGGAGATGTAGGGAGAGAGATCCAGATCACTGAACGGATAGCAGACGGTGGTTGAGAGTTTCCTTCTGTTCTTGTCCTGCCAGGCAAACCTAAAATGAATTTTTGAATGATTTTAAATGACCCTCAGCTTCTGTTTGTGTTGTGGTCATTGCTTAACTGACTTTGCTAGGAGGAGGGAAAACCAACAACTGACTACCCAGCATTTGAAAGAAAGATATCTGTTAATGTTGTGTATTGCAGTAAACTGACAGAAAATGCTCTAAACCCACATGACATGTCCAGCAGGAAAAGCAGAGCTCTTGCTTCCTGGTCCTTCAGTCAAAGCCTGAAGTCCTATCTTTCCATCACTCTCTCTGTGTCCTAAACATTTTGGAGTGGACTGCAGTGCCAGTGTCAGCTCTTCTCTCATGCCAGACTCCATCCCTCTTCCCTCTGTAACTTCGAGTACATCACCGCAGTTTTAAACATTTACAGCGTGGCCAAGAGCTGTAGCTGGGGACCACATGTCTTTGAGAATGTTGGAAAAGCAGATGCTGAATGGAAAATTAAATAAGAACTTCAAATAACATAGTTCTGGGAAGCCAAATCATCCCAGAGTAGTTTTCTTTATAGGTGGAAAGTTAAGAAGAAAAATTCTTTAGAATAAATTCAGCATCTGGCTATGTGTGGCTAGTGCAATCTGTTAACCCAGGTGCTCCTTTGCTGATGCACCACTCTGTTTAGGCCTGATTTAGTAAAGGGATAAACAAAACCAGAGTGTCTCAGCTGCAGTAATGACAAGCAAAACAGTGTCAGTCCTGCTCTTGGAACCCAAGCCACAGGCTCTCTCAGTTGCCGCAAGAACTGATTCACAGGGATCATACAGGGACTGTCTGTCCTACCCCACTTAGACTATACCTCTTTAGATGAAAAATGATGATCTGTGGTGCCTTGGTTATGGAGGCCTTTACTGTTGCATCTTGGTTGCTTCCACACCAGTAGCAGTGGATTTGGTTGTTCCGAGTCAGTGTGTCTGGCTGAAAAAAGCATTCCAGGCAGTCCTGTCAAAGGAAGAAAAACAAACATCACTTGATTGAACAGATCTCCCTCCACCCATGAAGGTGCTAAGCATGAATTTGCTAAGAGATGAATTTGCTCCTCCTAAGTGTGATGCAGCAAGGCTGACATTACAAATTCAAAAGACAAAGCAGCCAGCATTGGCTTCCATTCTCCCCGCCAAGGTGGGAAATACTTGGATGACTGGGAGAAACCTGAAATACTTGGATGATTGGAAGAAGCCTTCACGGCTGCTATTGAATGATCTTAATATCCTTCATCCCCTGGCAACTCGTGAGCATTGCTCCTGTAACCTTCACAACCTCCATGGTTCTGAGACCAGTAAAGACACCCCTCTTCTTTGGGGAGCAGATCCAAGACTATCCATTAGTGCCCAGGAGGCCAAAGTAACTAAACCCCTGCCTGTTTCCAATAAAGTCTAAGCCTCTACTCCCACATGAAGCAGCAGCCAGCAGGAATGTGCTGGCTGTTGTACCTGCAGAGAGCACACTCTGGTGGAAGGGATGGGCAGGGAGAGGACGGTGAAGCTCTCGGGTCTGTCAGTGAGGGCTTTGCATGTCAGACACCTGATAGCATAACTGAGCTGTCCCTCAAATAACTGTGTTATAATAGATGTGCCACTGCTACTCCTTGTGCTTGCTCCCGCAGTAGGGCTCTGTCTTTCTTGGCTTGGCTATACAGAAGGAAAAAAAATGACAAAATGTAGATAAGCAATTGTTTTGAGAAGTGCCTTCACTGGGTTTTAATGGGCGCTGCCCACTCCCTGGGTTGATCAGTTGTTAGTCTTGCCACAGAACATGGCTCTAAAATGCTGTTACTTTACTTGATGGGTCATACATGTAGAGTAAGATTAATTCCTTTTCTGAGAGAAGAGTAACAAAACTACAACAATTCAGACATTTGATAGCATTAATTGCTTGAAAAGCTCTTTTTCAGTGGCTCTGGAAGGGAGAAAGATGTCATGGGGGCATGGCAGATGTGAAGTTTTCAGGCAGATGAGAAAGTGGAAGAACATCAGCTGTGGAAGAAGAAAGGAGATGAAGAGGTTAGGACAGTGAAGCTACACCAGCATTGTCATTTAGATAGGGCTGAAATTTGATGGAGCATTAGACAAGAAGCAAATTAATAATTGTGTGTAAATGGGTCTGAAATAAAGGTAGAAAAGGAAAGTTATTAGTGGCCCCATCATAGAGTTCAGAAGAGGATGACAGGTAATTGTTACATGGAATGCTAAGTCACAAAATGCAGAGGAAACAGCTGTAGTTCCCAAAATACCACAGCTGGGCTCTCACCTGCTTGAAAGCCTCGTGGAGGTCATCCAGAACACAGATGAGGAATTCTTGTGCATCATGCTGAGTCCTCCTGCTAAAAGCTGGGTACCGCTTCCCAAAGACAGAATGAAAAGCCTCAGGAGAAACATAGTCAAACTCTCCAAGCCACATGTCAGACACCAGACAGCCAAAGGCAGTCGCAGACTCTCCAACCTCCCTTGGAAAAAAGGGGAGAGTTTCAGGTAATGTATGAAAAAATAGTGTCTGCCTTCAAATGGGAGCACAATACAGAAACTCAGAAAACAGATGCTGGTACAGTACAGCTCTGGCAGCTGTCACTTGGCTTGAGGGACTCTGCAGATCCCAGAAAGTGGTAGGAATCATCATCAAGACAACAGTTACAGGTATTCCCATCAATATGAGAAGAAAAGTATCATGCGGAAGGACCAGCAAGGAAACAAGCTGAGCTCTCAAAGGAGAAAGAAACCCAGCTGGTGGCCAGTCTGACTGGAACTGCCTGGGGGAAGCTGGCAGGTGCCTTGGACATTCTCATGGCAACACATATCCTTTGGCAGGAAAACAGTGCCGAGCAGAAAGCTCTCAGTACTGCGAGCAAACCGACTCACTCGTGCAGGGCTGTGTTCCACTTCCCCGAGAGGAAATACTGCGCGAGCGGGGTCAGGCTGCACAGGCACTGCAGCACCGCGTTCATGTAGCACGTGTTCTCCAGGTTCTGCAGCCCCGTGAGCCCTGGGTGCAGGCTGCTCATATCCTCCAGCTCTTCCTTGGGGGAGTACCTCCACTTCCATGCCATCCTTCCACCTACTACAAGAAAAATCCACAACAGTGGAAATCTAAAATGCTACGGTTTTTTCTTTAAAAATTACATTCACATTTATTTTCACCAGGTTTTATTGTGGTGAAGACTCTTCATCTTCTCCACTAAGCTCTTTCCAACATGGTAAGATGCATCATTATGAGGTATTATTTAAACACCTGAAGTTTTAGAGTTATTCCTAGAATTCCATTCAGTCTTTTGCTCCATACACAATTATTCAAAAACTACATCCATTTGTGGATAGCTGTCTTTTGGGCAAAATGCTAAACAGTGCATATTACATTAAGTTTTATTTCCTTGGGTACAGTACTCACCTGTTTTCTAAATCCATAGGTTGCAGTCCAGACGCTACTATAAACAGGTTGTTCTTCAGATCTTTGCTATAAAATGTTACTTAATTCATGTTCGGAAAATTTTAGTAGGTTTTTTTTTCTGGCTGCATAAGTCTGTCCTGGACCAAACTGTCCCCATCCCCAGTCAGACAGTCGAGATGCTGAACGCAGACCCTACACCACCCACATCTCTCACCAACGTTGCTGTTCTTTTTTTAGAGGCTGATGTTCTATCCTGAGGCAGGGCAAAGAACTCTAAAACCACAGCAATCCCCGTAGAGCAAAGATGAGCAGTGCCCCGTGTGTTCAGTCCCGTGTTCCATCCTGTAACCCCAGCTTCTCCTGCCCCAGCCCCTTGTGATGTCACCTGGTAACACTGGGCAGGGAACACACCTGGCCAGACCTGCCTCCATCTCCTTCTATGTGCCAGCCAGAACAGAAAACTTTGGGAAGAGAGGGGCACCCACCCATTCTACTGAGCAGGGAGCTTTGGCCCATCACACCTTTATCCATGATTGCTCACTTGGATTAGGATTTGTTATTGCCATGCTCTGCTGGAAGGGCAGTGATGACCGAGGGTGTTGACTATAAAAGGATGGAGCTACCTCAAAACATCATACTGAATTAGTTTCTTGGTGTTCTGAAGATTTTCCTGAGGGAAAAAAAAAAGGTATGGCAGATGGCTTTTAATTAGCTATGTTAATACAGTTCATCTCTAAATTCCATATGCCACTGAAGAGCAGCAGTTTTTCCCTATTTAACAACCTGGGAAGTAACAATTACCCACAGAAGAGGCCCATGAAGTGATGTAAAAAACATCCTAATCATCTTACTTGTTAAACCTCAAGCAAAGGATGTGTCTGGCACTCCTGGGACAGCTGTCACTGCTACTGACCCCTCAAAATTTCCTAACCATCTTACTTGTTAAACTTCAAGCAAAGGATGTGGCACTCCTGGGACAGCTGTCACTGCTACTGACCCCTCAAAATCTGGTTTAGTTTTGTAAATTGAACTGGATATGTTTATTCCCATTTTTTGTGGAATCTGAATCAAGACTTGGACTTACTATTTTAATGTAGCACGATACACAAATCCACATGGGTGCTACCAACTGCAACCTCTGGGGCTGAGAATTAACTTCCCATTACTCTCACTACAAAGTGGATTATTGCAAGGAAAAGCGTAAATCCAGAAAAGAAATATTAAACCATCAGAACTTTTTTTCAGAGGCCTTGTTGCATATTAGAAAGTCCTACTTTTTTTCCCAACTGGTCTTTTAGGAACATTTGATATGAACTGTTACTACCAAGTCTCCAGCTCCAGTCTTTTTCCCCCCTCTCCAAATTCCTGCACTGTTAAGAGTTATGGCATTAAGTGAGATGCAACCACAAAGATTTAATGTGTTGGAAGTTAGTCAGGCTTAAAAACCAAACCCCTCCTTTTCCAAATCACAAGGCTGCTGAGCAGCAGCTACAAAACCAGCTCCCCAGGAGCTGGTTTTGTATATTTTGCCACTATGCATTTGGGATTGGTTTTCTGAAATGTTTCACCACCTAAATACTGCAAGAAAGTAGTCAACAGTGACTTTGGTGGATTAATTAAAAGTCTAAATTATGTAGCTTATTAATTTCCCTATATGATAAATATTCTTAAATACCTTCCTAGTAGAAAATTCACTGAAGCCTTTCAGATTTTGACTAAAAAAGAATAAGGTTTGAATTATATTCCTCTATTTAAAAGCTAGGTTCTAAGAAGATATGCCAGTACTTTAGCTCTTGAATAGTTATCAGAAGTTCCAGTTCCATCACTTTCCTCCTTTTTGGTAATGTAAAGGAAATTTAAAAGCTAAAGGATCACAACTTCTTCCTATTTATAGAACATTTCAAGACTGATGAGGTTTCAGCAGAGGAGTGACACTTGATGTTCTCAAACAAATTGAATTTCATGGAATAGTTTTCATGTTCCTACTGCCCAACATCAGCAGGATGTGGCACTGTCCAAACAGAGCCAGGCTTCTTTTTCAAACCAACTTGTTGTTGTCCTTTGCCACCACACTTTTCCAATTCCTTCCCTAAAGGGTACTTGACATTTGTGATTTTTTTTCCTGCAAGTACGAGGCAGATCACTTCGGAAAGTCACACATTTCTCCCCCCTCAGTTTAGACATACTCTTCTCATGCAATTCAAGCTGTAAGTCACACAGAGTAAGCCCCTGCTCATGCCAGGCAGATGTACAGAAATATGAACAGTGGTAACCACTCCAAATCCTACAGGCATTTCCCAACCACATTTGTCCCTTTTGGTCTCGAAAAAGCTTCAGGCCTGAGTCACTGCAAGACTGAGCAGAAGGAACACTCCCCATGATCACTCACACCCATCACAAGGTGGTCACATCTGTTTATTTTGCTAAGAAATGAGTCACAAGCAGAACTACTGAAGAGCAGTAACACAGCTAAAAAATAACTGTGTAGTTAAGTATTTGTCAAGAAACAAAGTTTCCCAGCTTTTACAATTTTCTTAAAATGATTTTCTTCTTTCATACACTAAAATTTGGTCACATTTTGAAAACACCAGGCTCCTCTAGAAATCTCTCTCAATTTGCAGAGCCAGTCACACTTACAGACTCAGTGCTGCTGTTACTTGGCATTAGAGAGGTGCAAGTACATTTGGAATATCTGCCCATTCCCTCCCAGCAACAGCAAGTGATGCAGTCAGAAGAAGCAGCTCCTAATTAGTGAAGAGCTATTTTTGACTCATTTACTCATTAATCCCCTCACACGTGTCTGGCAGCTATGACACTTTTCACTTTTTTACCTCCCTAGTTTCTGGTGTTGGCCAAAGTTGTGATACCTCAAAGGCTAACAGCTACTTTGATCCAGCGTGGCAAATTCTACTTTTCTGCATAAAGAGTTACTTAAATTCACCAAAATAACCTTTCAGACTGAGACGGAGAGCAGAAGTCTGTAAACAAGAATAAATTTATTTTAGATTCTTTAAAGATTTAATGATATACAAAATGTATACAGTATTATATCCTTATAACATTTTACCTTTCCCCATCAAACATAAAACACCATTTAAACAACTATTGTGTTCGTGCCTTAGGTCTGTATCTATAAGATACACTACTGAATAAAAAATTTATAGAGCTATATACTGCCCTTTTAATTAAAAATTACAAATTAGTACCTATGTAACAAAAAAAAAATCGCAGCATGAAACTTCAGTTGGACAACAGGTTCTTTTCTTGCTGAATGCTCAACAATATTTGGGACAGTTAAATTACATTTTATTGGCATGAAGGTGCATTGCAATCTCCCGTACTTTACACAACGCTAATCCAACCCTAGTCTCTCTTAAGTAAGTACCACAAATAACATAACATTAAAGATGTTTTCTACACAATTTTAAATACATTTACAAGTTATGTGTACATTCGGTTTCGATATACTGGTTTTAGGAGATCTTTGGAAGGCAGAACTTCTGAAGCAGTCACTACGTACGTACAAGGGAAAGCACTTCCAACTTGTGTTCTTACAAGGCAACTTATTTGGACCAGCACAAACTAATTCTTCTATTAAATATGATTATACCAGTCTATCATGGCTTTGTTACTATTTGACAGTGACTTGATAAAATTGAAATGTGTAAAACAAGAAATTTCATTATGCACAATTCAGGCTCTATTTCACAAAACAAAAGCAACCAAGCCCAGTTTTACAGTCATGAAGCTGAAAGAATCCTGATTCAGGAGACTCTCTCTCTCTTTTGGAACACATCAAGTTCCTACCTTCAACTTCAGTCTATTGGCATCCTATATACACCTCATTTGGCTCTGTCCTCTTCAAAAGGCTAGATTAAAAGACACCTGGTGAGAAATATTAGTGGAACACTTCCGAAAACACTCTAAGAGTACTCTGGCATTACAGAGGTAGGTGCTTTCTCCTGGTTTTGCTCATCAACAGTAAGACAAATGCCAAAAAGACAAATGCTTTACCTTAAAACATCAACTACCAAAATCCTGTTGGTGGAAGGCATATTTCCCACCACAGGACTATCCTCCACTAAACCAAAATAAAATAAAAAATAAAACTTTCTGCTTAAAAAGCCCCTTTAAAAACACATCTTAAATACTTGTCATTATTCCACCTTTAGAACGATCAGCTGCCACGCTGCTCTGTAGATGGTTATCACAAGTCGTAAAATCCTCAGATTATGGACCAGCCAAAATTCCACTTGTAAGACAGTAATCCTTGTTTTGACAAGTCTTTCTTTTCATTATAGTGAGGGAAAGGTAAGTGACAACTTTGTGAGGTTCCACGAAGTTTGAACGAATCCACTGAGTTGGTCACATCATCAAAGCATCAGACGAATAGAATTGGCCGGATCAGAATCTTTGGTGCAGCTTCCAGGCTGAATTGTCAATTCAGGGGCATCGTCCTGAGGAAATATGATCTTGTCAGGTGTGTAGTCATTCCTCTTCAGATCTGTACAAACAGAACAAAGTCATAATGATTACTATGTCTTGAGCTGGTAGAATCAAGGGGGTATAAATGTCTAGCAAAGAACTGGACATGCAAATGCACTTAGGAAGATTAATTCCAGAATATGCACTGTCAAAAAAGGGATGTTTTTATCATAGGTGCAATTAGAAGCCTAAAGTCAAATGACAAAACTGCTGTTTATTACTTGTTCCACTTTAACAGCATGCCTTGACTATTTCATTATGTATCATACAACATCTCAT